TACTGTAGTATGATTGGGAAAGGTGTTGATTGGATGGAGGTCTATTCGACAGAAACATCTAAGTTTGTCAACAATGGAGGCTGAATTCTCATGTTTATCTTTATTATGTACAGATTTAATTTGTTATAAGCAACTATTAATTGATATGGGAATTGATGTAACAGATTCTATTGTTGTTTATGAAAACAACCAATCAGCAATACAAATGGCTTCAAATATTGCTGTTAAGACAAGATCAAAACACACAGATTTAAGATATTTAAATGTGAGACAATGTGTGCAAAGTAAGATGATTAAGCTGGAATACTGTATGTCAGAAAACAACATCGCAGATCATTTAACAAAAGCCCAAGGCTCTGTAAAGCATAAGGCTTGCTGTGAGGATTATGGACTTAGAATGTAAGGTTGTATATATTGTCCTACCCAAAGGGGAGAATGTTAGGAATGTAAGTCACCTAATAGTTGGGTTGGAAAATATATAAACCAGGATAGATATTTTAATACTGTCTCTTTAAGGGAATGCTAAAATTGGAATTGGGTGTGGTTTCTCAAACGGCCATAAGATGGAGCCAGAAACCTGGGTTGTTCTGTTCTGTTGTTCTGGAGAGTGTTGCCGTTCCTATTGACCATTGATTGTTTGCTGGTCATAGTTCTTCTTGGGTTTGATGTAAGTCTGTTACTGAACTGTTTTTGATACTGGACTTTGTTACTGGATTATGCCTGGACTGAAAACTGACTGCTTTAACTGTGAATGACTTGGACTGCTTGTTTGGACTTTGCTTAAACGTTTATTGGAAGTAAAAACCTACATTTTACTATACAGTGTATCTGTGTGCTACTTGTGTGTTATTCTTCACCACTCTCACTACGCCTCCCTATATGCACTCATTCTCCTAACAGGGAATTACCTCAACACCAGTGACTGGTGCTAATGGTTGATACGGTTAAAAAAAAAGGATACCCAGATATTTGTAATAATCATCTTCATCCAGACTCTTTATGTTATTTCCATGGGGCATTTTGATTCCTTCAATTTTCACTATTTTTCTTTGTTTGTAGTGAGTGTAGCACATTGTCCAATCCAAACTCCATTGCAGTAGTGAAATGCTACCAGAGCTGCCCAGTTCGGCTGAACCAGTAGTAAAAAAAGCTTCGACAATCAGCTGAGAGGGGAGAGAAAAGCACAGGATCGGCCCTCCTACCTGCCCTGTGCTTTTCTGTTCTTTATCCTCTCAGCTGATTGATGCAGCAGAGCCTCAGTTGGTGTTTGGAAAGCTGAGTGCACAGTGCACGATCACCAAACCAATAGAGAAACTGGTAGAATTCCACCACTGCTCCATTGCAATATCTTGTCTATATATATGAACAATGTTGAGCAGCGATTATATTTCATATGGTGTTTTTCCATGCAGCTTTAGTTCGTCCATGTAAAGGAGGTGGGCTAGTTTGGCCGATGTTTTTGATGTTTGATAGCCATTGCCTGAGTTATTCGGTATTGTTGACAGAGGAAACAGTGCAATGACAAATAGTAGTGGTGATAGTGAATCTCCTTGAAATATTCCTCTCTTGATATTAACTTCTCCTAGTCTCTCATCATTGATCTGCAATTGTGTCTTCCATTCAGATACAATGCATCATATTCCTTAGGAAGCAGCATACATAATCTTAATTTATTTAATTTAATTCATATACTTTATCATTTATTCTTCTTATATATAAAGTTCTTACACCTATCACCTGCCATGTTTGCCCCTAGATAGGTCTATAGAAGTTAATTTCCACCATTCATTAGACTTTGGTCAATCAAGTTTTTTTTAAATAATATTTGTTAATAAAATAGAAAAGATATAAGATTGCCAATATTTCCACCTGTGCCTTATGTAGCATTCCCTGATAACAATAAGGAGACAAATGATACTTCTGGCAAATTTTGATCAGTATGCCATGCAGACAATCACAATTTTAGTTCGAACATCCTCATATTATTCTATAAAGTTTCTTTAATTTAGAAACTATCTTAACCAAGTAACAGAGTAACAAAGTTGGAAGAAATCTTGGAAGTCTTCTAGTCCCATCCTCAAACCAATTTATTGTTACACTCATCCTATCATCTCTGAGGATTATGCAGGATACATTGAAGAAATGTCTAGAAAAAGCAAAATGGCATAATCTTCCAATCATCTAAATATGATGAGGGATCAGTACAAATGATCTTTTTTTAAAAAAAGTGAAAACCCAATGTAAGATATAACTAAGCTTAATGCTGGGAATCATGTACCCAGTGTAAGGACTTTCTGGCATATTATTAAATAGTAGAATGTTTAATCTGATGGAGATTAGATAGTATTATTTCTCATCTAGTTTGGGAAGAACAATACATGGCAGTATTTAAAAGCAGGTCATGCTAGAACTTTAGATATCAACAGAGAATGTTTAACCCTTGTCACCTCCATTGAAAAAAAAACAAACCTAAAGAGGAAGTTGAAAAAGGGAGAAACAAGTAGTGTTCTGATACTTCCTGAAATATTTAAAGTATACACAGCCATTTTGCCCCAAAGATTGAGTAATGTAGATAATGGAAGACTAGGGACATGCTATTATAGGCCCCAAAGTAAGCAAATTGATCCAGCAACTTGGATTATTAGTTTGCTCATTATGGCAAGTAAACTTTATGCAAAGTACCCTTTAATTAAATAAAGTTATTACAATATCTTGTAGATGACCCTCACTCTGTCAAGGACCTAGGAGTACTTATCTCAAATGTTCTAAGACCAGAGCTCACTGTAACAGCATTGCCAAGAAGGCTTTAAGAGTTGTTAACCTTATTTTGCGAAGCTTCTTCTCCAGCAACACTGAATTGTTAACTAGGGCATACAAAGCCTTTGCCAGACCAATTGTCAAATACAGCTCATTCACCTGGAACCCACACTGTACATTGGACATTAACACAATTGAGCGGGTTCACTTTAGAGGTATTTCTCAAGAAAAGCACTCCACTCCTCCACTCACAATAGAATTCCCTATGCCTCTAGGCTCAAAATTTTGGGCCTGGACAATCTAGAACTGTGCCACCTGCAGTGCGATCTAAGCATAATACACAAAATTGTCTGTAAAACGTCTTACTTGTCAACAACTTCTTCAGCCTCAATCACAATAATACACAGGCAAACAACCGATACAAACTCAAGGTAAACCGCTCCAAACTCAATTGCAGAAAATTCGACTTCAGCAACAGAGTGGTCAATGCCTGGAACTCCCTACCTGACTCCATTGTTACAGCCTCAGCCCTTCACAGCTTCAACCTCAAACTGTCTACTCTGCACCTCACCCCATTCCTAAGAGGTTTGTAAGGAGGAATGCATAAGTGCAACAGCGTGCCTACCATCCCTGTCTTACTGTCCCCCTTTATCTGTATTTACTCCCTTTGTTCTTGTTTATGTTCATACTTATACTTGTTATGTTGTACATGCTTGACAAACAAATAAATATTAAAACTAATAATAATAAAGTGTTTTAATATAATGAAATTATATTTTAAATAATTAAACTGTTCTAAATTAAAGCTAAAAATTAAAATTATTATTATCAGTCAGATTTCAACCAAGGCTAGTTATTGGTTCATCTTGTGTTGATTTTTCCATAATACATTGTATACTTACATTTTAAAACAAGAATTCTATCTTCCTAAATCATCTGATAACCTGATAACTATGTTCTGCATGAGAATTATATAACAATTCTCTTGACACTATCAATTGGTCCAAGAAGAGTAATTCAAGCCCCTGTCACTTACTGGGAGAAGGAAAGTTTCCCAAGAAATCTAAAAGGTATAAGAATAGTTTGTAAATAAAAGGAATTTAAAGTGACTGGATTAAATGCCTCATAACTATGTTATAAGCTAGAAGTGGGGTTGTGTTTTTTTGCAATCTTAACTTTCCACGTGTTGAAAATAACAATTACATTCCAACTATTCTCAGATAATGCAAAATTCTATGTTTTACAGTTCTTAGATTTATTTTAAAAGTTCAGTAAACCAGTATGGGCATTTTAACTTACTTGCACAAGAGTTTTATAGTTATCTTTATGACTGGGCTTTCAAATAATAGAATGAAAATATTATACAAGAGTAATCCAACAATTAATTGCAAGTATTTGCAGAAGACAGTCTATTTTGTTTTTCAATGTTTAAATATGAACTTACCTATAATCAGTACTGGATGTTTTGACAATAAAAGAAGACTTGCTAGGAAGCTGTGGCGAATAGTATCAATATTGGGAATAAATGCAGAGGCCTCTATTTTCTTTTCTTGATTTTCTAACATGTTATTATCAGAATCGGAAATATCTGATGTCTCTGAAGTTTAAAAGATTACAATAATTATTTTAAAATATATTTAAAAAGTAAAATATTGTAAATCATGGCCAGATGAAAAAAATAGATAGATGAGGGGTTCCAAAGATCAATTAGGCTATGACATTCAAGATTACCAGAAAAAAAATGTATTTTAATATTGCCTTTTAACCTTCAAGTCACTGAATAGGCAGGAAAAAGGATGGGCAGAGATGATTGAAAATACAGATAAATAGAAGCGGATGGAGAAATTATATAAATCCTGGTAAAATTTACTAGTTAGGTAATACCGAGCTTTGTGAGGAACTTATGTTTGTTGAAGTGATAATGGTTGTCTATGAACAAAAAAGACATGCATCATTGGTTCTTTTTAGAAGTAATGACAATGACATTTTCAGCTCTTAGTGGTTCAAAATGTACTTGTATGTCTAGGTATCTATTCTCAACCATACAGTATTATGCTTTAATTTCTAGAGTTAGGCTTCAGCATCTAGGATTGAATTTATCTCTGAATAAATTAACATTGTTCTCCTCCCAAACACTGAATGCATCTTTCAGAAATATGTGTTTCTAAACCCTAAACTTATTAAATGTTTTCCAGGACTTTCAAAATAATTTAATAACATGAAGCAACTACAACTATACTCACCTTTCTGGATAAGAAATTGAGTGCTGGGAACTAAATGTCCCCATGGTTCAAATTCTCCTGTTTGTAAATCCACAAAATAATCAAAAACAGTTTTATCTCCAGGTGGCATCTGGATATCTGAAAGTTCAAAAAGTGAGCCATGTTTTATTACATAAATAATGTAAAATTAATGGGTGAATAGGGCATATTTTCTATAAAGATAGATAGATAGTTAGATAGATAGAATTCTTTATTGGCTAAGGGTGATTGGACTCACAAGGAATTTGTCTTGGTTGATATGCTCTCAGTATACATAAAAAGAAAAGATACATTTGTCAAGAGTCAAGAATCATAAGGTACAACACTTAATAATAGTCATAGGATACAATAAGCAACCAAATCATATTAGGAAACAGTCAATAAAAATCATAAGAATACAAGCAACAAAGTTACAGTCATACAGTCATAAGTGGGAGGAGATGGGTGAAAAGAAGGATGGGAAGATTAATAGTAATGCAGACTTAGTAAATAGTTGTGTTGAGGGAATTATTTGTTTAGCAGAGTGATGGTGTTCGGGGAAAAAATGTTCTTGTGTCTATTTGTTCTGGTGTGCAGTGCTCTATAGCATCATTTTGAGGGTAGGAGTTGAAACAATTTATGTCCAGGATGTGAGCAGTCTGTAAATATTTCCACAGCCGTCTTTGTGACTCGTGCAGTATACAGGTCCTCGATGGAAGGCAGGTTGGTAGCAATTGTTTTTTCTGCAGTCCTAATTATTCTCTGAAGTTTATGTTTGTCTTGTTGGGTTGAAGAACCAAACCAGACAGTTACGGAGGTGCAGATGATAGACCCAATAATTCCTCTATAGAACTGTATCAGCAGCTCCTTGGGTAGTTTGAGCTTTCTGAGTTGGCGTAGAAAGAACATTCTTTGTTGTGCTTTTTTGATGACGTTTTTGATGTTAGGTGTTCAATTTAGGACTTGAGATATGATAGAACCTAGAAATTTGAAGGTCTCTACTGTTGATACTGTATTGTCTAGTATTGTAAGAGGTGGTAGCATGGAAGGGTTTATCCTAAAGTCTACCATCACTTCAATGGTTTTGAGTGTGTTCAGTTCCAGATTGTTCTGGTCACACCATGAGGCAAGTTGTACAACCTCCTGTCTGTATGCGGATTTGTTGTGGTCTCGAATGAAACCAATCACTGTTGTATCATCTGCAAACTTCAGTATTTTAACAGATGGATCATTTGAGAGGCAGTCATTGGTATATAGGGAGAAGAGAAGTGTGTGGGGGGGAGGCTGTGTTAATTGTACAGGTATCAGGTGTGATTCTGCCTAGCTTCACCTGCTGCTTTCTGTCTATGAGGAAGCTTATGATCCACTTACAAGGGTGTACAGGTACTGCTGGCTGATTTGGTTTAGTTAGTAGAATGTCTGAAATGATGGTATTGAATGCTGAACTAAAGTCTACAAAGAGGACCCTTGCATAGTTTTTGGAGATTCGAAGTGTTGTAGATTGTGGTGCAGAGCCATATTAACAGCATTATCTGTTGATCTATTTGCTCGATTTATTTGCAAATTGCAAGGGATCTAACAGTGGATCTGTGATGGTTTTCAGGAGGGACAGCACTAGCCTTTCAAAAGTTTTCATAACTACAGATGTTAGAGCAACTGGTCTGTAGTCATTCAGTTCCCTGATGGAGGGCTTCTTTGGCACTGGGATGATAGTACAGCATTTGAAGCAAGAAGGAACATAGCACATCTCTAGTGATCTACTGAAGATTTGGGTGAAGATGGAGGCCAATTGGTCAGCACAGACTTTTAAGCAAGAAGGAATTATCTTGTCTGGGCCTGGTGCTTTTCCTGGCTTTTGTCTGTGAAATAGATCTTGCACTTCTTTTTCTGTTATCACAGAGGTTGTGAACCCAATGGGTTAGTGTTAGGGTTAGGATTAGACTATAAGTGTATAGCAGATATGTTTCTGTCATATAACCCCACCCTACCCACTCCTTTGCACTGGCTTGAATGTATGTAGATTCAAAGCAGGAGGAGTGAACCTGGATCTAAGATCCTGCTAACAGCTGACTTATGTTCAAGCAAGCTCAAATACACCTCCCTTTCAGGTTGTTGGAGGTGAAACATTCACTGTGTCCATTTGAACATTCCTGAGACCAGGAGTCTGACCCAGTGGTGGGATTCAATTTTTTTACTACCGGTTCTATGGGCGTGGCTTATTTGGTGGGCGTGGCTTGGTGGTCATGTGTCTGGGTGGTCATGTGACTGGGTGGGCGTGGCTTGGTGGTCATGTGTCTGGGTTGGCGTGGCCAACTCAATGTCACTCACATCAAGGGGTGTCTCACCTGGCCCCTCCCCTCCCAGCCATTCCTTGTCACGCAGCCTCAACTTATCTATAGCTCTGTAAAAATGTTGTTCACCTTTTTTGACTTTATTATCTGCATACTATAGATGTACTTTCATGGACCACTGAAAGGAGGAAATGGCTCACATGCTTTACCCAAGAGTGTGATAGGCAACAGGCTTTTAAGGGGCTGCCACAAAGAAAGGGGGACAATGTATTTTCCAAAGAAGCAGAATGCAAACAAGAAGCAATGGATTTCCATTGCTCTCTGAACAGAGAGAAGCAACCTAAAACTAAGGAAAAACTTCCTGACAGTGAGAACAATTAACCAGTGGAACTGCTTGACTCCAGAAGTTCTTGGTGCTCAATCACTGGAAGTTTTTAAGAAAAGACTGGACAGCCATTTCTCTGAAATGGTATAGGGTTCACCCCAAGGTCCCTTCTAACTGTTATTCTGTTATTCTGACACCTTCCCCAGGATTTCTACTGAGAGTTTGGCATCCTCAGTTTTCTTGACTGAGCTGGGGGTTGGACTAGAAGACCTCCAAAGTCCCTTTCAACTCTTGTTAAACACATGTGTATTTATGCTCTGCACTATTGACATTGAATGCATGTAAACTCTGAAAAATATGTGGTAGCCCTGGGCAAAAGAAAGGCAGAAAAATCACTCTAGTTGTAGGAACAGTATAAAATATTAACACATGATAAATAATGGAACAATTAAAAATAATACCACAGAGTTTTCTCTCTCTCCCTATTTTTTTCTTTCTTTCTCACTCTTTCTCTGTCTTTCTTTCTTGGTCTCTGTTTTTCTTTCTCTCTCTTCCTCTTCCTCTTCCTTCCTTTCTCTCTCTCTCTCTCTCTCTCTCTCTCACACACACACACACACACACACACACACACACACACACATACACGGAGCACTTTTGTAGCTTAACAGATATGCATTTTGAAGCAGCTCCTTTAAATTTCTCCAAGGCTGGAGTGGATTCCCCCACCCCCTCTGTCAGACCACACTCCTTCTCACTCCAGGCACTTTAATTCACAAGGGGAAAGCGATACTTGCAGCAAGTGTCCATGGGGAATCCTTAGAGAAGTTTAAAGGACCTGCTTTAAAATGCATTTTTGTTAAGTTGCAAAAGTGCTCCAAGGCTGGATTTAGCCCTACCCCCTCTGTCAGCCCGCACTCCCTTTCATTCCACTTTTAACTCACAAAGGGAAAGCAATACTTGCAGCATCCATGCCTTTCTTCCTTTTCCCCGGGGAGGAGGACGCGAGGGACGGAGGCTGCTGCGCCCATGCCTTTCTTCCTTTCCTCCCAGGAGGAGGAGGATGCAAGTGGTGGTGGTCCAGGGGGACGAAAGAAAGAAATTGGCTGGCTAGTCTTCTCTTTCTCTGCCGGTTTGTTCTGTATGGCCAAGGAGGAGGAGATCAACTGGCCAAAAGGGCGGCTGCTGGCTCCTCTCCAAATTGACTGGCTGGTCATCTCCTTCTCTGCCTATTTGTTCTGTATGGCAGAGGAGACGACCAGCCAGCCGATTCGGGGAGGATTTCTGTGCTGCGAAAAAGGCAGCTACAGATTCTGGCTTTGCTCCGCTTCTCCAACAGTCTGGCACCTCCCTGTTTTATGCGCCAGCCACTTGGACTTGCCGGGCCCAGCAAAAGAACAGGGTGTGCTTTTTTCGGTGCAGCTGCTAGACTGCAGCTGCACCGAAAAAAGCACGCAGCAGCTGCTGTATCTCATGAAAGTGGGACGAGGACTCCCGGAATATCCACTCACCCACCTGCTGGCTGAGCCGGGCTGAAAGAGGCATGCCTGCGGGGAGAAGGAAGAAAATGTGCTCCAGGAGGGCAGCAGGTGAGTGGATGTCCCGGGGTTGCTGCACATGCACACTGCATGTATAGCAGTTGCACATGCAGTGCACATGTGCAGCAGCCCTTGGACATCCACCCGAGCTGCACCATGGCTGCCACATGGTAAGGAAAGCTAGGAGAGCGAGCAGGCCAAGTGAGAGACTGGGCGACCGGGCGACCGGGTTGGGGGCGTGGGCAGCCAGGGGTTGCCACTGGTTTGGTGACCCATGCCAAATAACCGCTACTGCTTCGCCCGAATAGGTGCAAACTGGTTGAATACCACTTCTGGTCTGACCTGAGCAAGGATTAACAAAACTGTTTTAGAATACAATGTAATTATATAATATTACAACAAATTGGAGATATTTAAGAAATGCATAGGCAAAGCTTAACATCTAGCTTGCTATAGTCTAGCAGGAGAAGAATCTGAGAGCATGTCTGTTGTGCCTATGTGCCTGGGAAGAAAGGCAAAAGGGAGTGTCCTCAGTTAGCATTCTTTTAAGCTAAAAGCCTATAAAGAAATGACACAACAGTTAACTCAAAACTCTACAAGCATGTTTCAAAAATTTTCTTTAAAAAAAATCTAATTATATTTATATTAATGGTTCTGTTGCTAATTGATAGGCTTCTCATATGTGTATTCATATTGCAATAATGCTAATTTAACCAAACTAGTCTATGCATTGATGACCAGCAGCAACTTCCAATGCTTTTCTCCTGCCCTATTAATATCTTTGTATAAAAAGAAATTGAATCCCAGGTCCTCTTACGTGAAATATCTGACTTTTCCATTGTTCTGCATGTCTTCTCTTTCTCAGCTAGCATATTCAATTGGAATCTCTTCTGTATTCAAAATCTACAGTTACATAGATGCTACTTACATATGTATATACACATGAAGATAGATAAGTAGATATATTTGTCAGCTGCATTATTTTGGAAACCAAACTATATAGTTCAGCTTCATTGAAATGTAATATCTTTGGCCCTTTCCTGTTCCACTAATTTGTTACTTAATATAAATATTTATTCAGTTAATGGAAGTAGAATATACACAGTAACTATATTGTAAAAGCAGTAGAAATTTAGAACTTACTGGTAGGTGGTTTTTTGTCAAATAATTCACGAACAAGATAATTGAACTCAGATGTTACATGTGCAAGTTCATCTTGGCTAGTGTTTATATCAATGAGAGTTTCACCTTCATGCTCTTCTTCTCGTTTTAAAATTCCTCCAACAGCCCAAGTGAATGCAAATATGAAAATTTTCTCCAATAATATGAGCATTTTATTAGGCTCCTTTTCCCAAAACCATATCTCACCACCCCTGAAATGAATGAATAAAGAAGTTATCTTAATACAAACTTGTTGCTAAACATAAAAAGGATACTGTATTTATACTGTACTTTTGCAAGTTAATTTTTTAAAATCCTGAATATTTTATTATTTATGAATGAATTGGCTTTTTACACAGGCTTTTGGTGAGGAAGAGTGAGATCCCACACTTTATTGGCTTGCCATCTTTTGTGGTTTACTGATTTCATTGTAATTTGTTTGATTGTTATGAGCTGCCCACAGCCACTGAGACAGATGGCATACCAGTTTAATAAATCATTGACAAAATCACCATCAGACACATTAGTAAAATCGTTAAACCTCAAAAAAGGCACTGTATATATCCTTTTGTAAGACTTAATACCTTAGACTTAAGGTATAAAGAATTGGCTTGCCATCTTGTATAATTTGCCAGTTTTATTGTAATTTGTTAGATTGTTATGAGCTACCCATAGTCATTGAGAGTCAGATGGCATACAAGTTTAATAAATTATTGTTAGTGTTATTATTATTTGGTCTGATATGATAGTTTAGTATTTTTTCATTATTTTAATGGTATTTGGGTTAGTTAATTGGTATTGTATTTTTTTGCAGGAAATGAGCTGAGTAGCATTATGTTTTTTTAAAAACAATAAAACCTGAACGGGTGCACACACAAAAAAGAAAAATCTCAAATGATTACAAATATACACAAAAAGGATTTAGAGTTTTTAGCTTGGTGAGGAGGCAAGTAAGGTAAAAGATAATAGGATGTAAAAAACCATGCATCTTTCATTGTACCCCTCTTCCATTGTATAAGAATATTGTGTTAGCCATTAAAACTAGATGCAGAGAGATTTGAAACATTGGCAAACAAATTGGTCAATGATTTATATAGCTGAAAAGGAAACTAAGCAAATTCATGAAGGATCAGTGGGTCCTAGTCTTGATGGTTGATTACTGTCTTCTATATCATGGGCAGTATTCCTTAAACATCAGATGCTAAATAGCAAATGTGGAAGAGAACCCATATTTGCAAGGTGACCACTATTATACACCAGTAGTGGGATTCAAAAATTTTTGCTACTAGTTCTGTGGGCATGGCTTGGTGGGCATGGCATGGCTTGGTGGGTGTGGCTTGGTGGGCATGGCAGGGGAAGAATACTGTAAATCCCCATTCCCTCCCCACTCCTGGGGAACGGCTACTGCAAAGTCTCCATTCCCTCCCTACCCCACTAACCTGCTTTCCAGCTTCATTCTCCTGTGCAGAGCACTGAAAGAAGACCCAGCTGATCAGCTGGGACTTGGGAGGCAGAGAATAGATGGTGATGGGGCCAGTCAGAGGTAGTATTTGACGGTTCTCTGAACTACTCAAAATTTCCACTACTGGTTTTCCAGAACTAGTCAGAATCTGCTGAATACCACCTCTGTTATACACCATGCTGAACTAGAAGAGCCATTAATCTATTTCAGCAGGAATGTGAATAAATGCTTATGTTCTCATAATTCAACTTACCTTTTCTTCATTATTGATGGGACTCTTCCACCGAATGAACTGAATGTATGTAAAAATTGGGAATAATCCCTCTGGTTTATTGTTGAAAAACTCACTGTGCTGCTTTGTCGTCTTTTCTTACCTGTAATATAATGTTTCTAATTATATATTATATATTATATAATATATTATATTATATATATTATATATTATATATAATATATTATATTATATACTTTCATTAGTTTAATACATTCTACAATTTAATTATACTTTCCTCTATAATTGATTTTATATTTTGATTACACTGAATACATTTTACTTTGATTTTAATCTACTACATCTACTGAAGATGTATCTACAGTTCTACTTGAATTGTAGATACATCAGTATATAAAGTGTTTCAATATTATTTGTATGCAATACACACACACACACACACACACACATATATATATATATACATATACATATATACACACACATACATACATACATACTTGGTTAAAGTCACTTGGAGATGGGATTCTATAGGATTTCCAGCAAAAAGCTGGTATTATGTTAACTAAACGGTTAGTAAATACTCCCTAACATATGATTGTTTTTATCAATTTTTGGCACAACACATTTTGCATTAGATATTAAAGAAACAGGCAACATAAAACATAAAGAGAATAGTAACAAAATACAAGCAACATTTCCTGCTTTTTGCTGGAAATCCTATAGAATCCCATCTTCAAATTACTTTAACCAAAGCAAGGATGTATAAATGTGAGCAAGTTGATTAAATTGATTTCAGTATTAAGGTGATTGGAGTAACATTCACAAAGGGAAAACTTCCTGTTTCCTTTAGCTACTTGGGCTCCTTGAAATTCCTCCTTCCTTCACACCCAAATTATATTTAAAGAAAGTTAATGAATAAATTTTAACATGTGTTATGTCGGTATGATTTATTATTATTATCTATACATATCAAGAGTTAGCTCTGAAAATTTCTTCTTCTTCTTCCATTAACTAGGGGTTATCAATCTTTTTTCCTCATGGTCTTCCTTTAAGTGTCATTTACATTTGTGATTCCCCTCATAATCACTGTTTGCTGGGAAAAAAATATTACTCTGGAATTTTGTATTGAACAATGCTATAGAAATTGAATATGATTGAGATATGAACCATCCATTTAAAAACCTTAATGCTCAAGATTACTGCTGAATGGTAGAAATTTTTTTTTCTCCTGCCCATGATCTACTGATTTTGCTGTCAAAGCTATTTCAGTCTTGAAGATTGCAGTTCCTAGCGGGACTACTGGAAAGTTAGGTCATCCATTCATCTTTTCCTCTTGACAAATTGTTTATTTTAATATTACTTTGGTTTTAACTACACTTTTTGAAGTTTGCTTTTTATCTTTAAATTAACAAGCTTGTTGAATGCTGGTTTATTTTATCCCCTGCTGGACTTTATCTGTGTTTTTTTTTTTTTGTCTCTTTCCTTTGATTTATTTTGCTGTTTTGAATAATTCTTGTTTCTCCATAAGGAAGTCACAGCATGTTCTTGAGTAGTGAAAGTGTTCTGACTTGATTTACATTAATGTAAGATTTTAACTATATAGATTTTGCATTTTATTAATTTGCTTATTAATTTTGAACTTCTTTTGTTAATTTTCTTTTAATTTTGGATTGAAATTTTAAAAAAGTATTCTCCCTGCTTCTCTATTTTCTCACTCTGAGGAATATCACTTCAACAGTCTTAGATCTCTGTCTTTGAAGAGTTTTTTGAAAACTTTTTGAAAAAGTTTGACAAAATAATAATGGCTACAAAAATGCATGTAACAGCAGTTACACCAGATTTACAAAAGGTTTGAAACTGGCAGATTCAGTGGGGAAGATTGAAAGAAATATGGATTTTACAGATTAGAACTGACTGAGTGGATAAGTGATAGATTGGTTTCCTCTAAGAGTGAACGAGATTAGGGAATGGATTTATTATGTTCAACTTATTTATTTATTTTTGCCTGGACTCTTTTGGGAAGATAGATTGATTTTGGAAAATGGATTTATTATATTTAGCCAGACCACAATTGACATTATTAAAATGTTATTAAGAAGCAAATAAGGATATTTGATCCAGGATGAATCAGAGTTAACTATCAGAATGATTTGGGATAGATAAGAACCCGTGGTAAACGTTCTACGGGATAGATAGAATAATAATTTGTTAGCAGATGGTTTTGAAATTTTAATCTTATTTGTTGTTGTTGTTGATGATGATCTATCTGTTAACTATTTTGTCATTAATATAGTAGATAGATGACAGGCCAATAATTTGCAAATAGAATTATAAGTTTAAAAATTTCTGGGCCTATTTCATAAGGGGTGGGAAACTATTGTTGCAACATATATAATTAGTATCCAAGTAGGGCTAATAATACATATATATGTGTTTGTATCCTTTTTAAAGCACTTATTAAATATCCTGTTTGTTTTGTTTTCTTTGTTTTTGTAAAAACATTTTTTGAAGTTTTGTATTTTAACTTTTTTGAATAAAACAAAAAAATAATGTTAACTTACATTAACATTGATTATGATGAGTGGATTTTCCTAATGAGACAACTATTCTTATTTAAATTATCAAATATGGTTTCTGTTTTATTCTTCCCCTGCTTGGAGGACACTCCTAAGATGGATGGACATCAAGCATTTCACCAGTTATCATCACCATTACTGAGAATTCTAAGAGTTCAAAGTCAAACATATTTCAAGATACTTAGTATGTACAGAATTATGGCATAAACATTTTTTAAAGTTTACTTACTATCTTGTGATACTTGACTTAGTTTCATTACATGAATAAATGAATCGATAATTCTGCAAATGTTCATTACTATCCCCAACTGATGTACAGGAAATGCTTGCATTTTCTTATGTTTATTTAGAAAAGTTAACCCTATCTTTATACTTGAGTGAAATAAACTTTCAAGATATTCAATACTATTTTCTGGTATTATTTCAGAAATGCCTTGCAGCCATGTTTTGACATAAGGCTCCCATCCCAAATCAGCAGGATCCTGCAAATAAATAAAATATATGAAGAGATGTTCAGCAATATATATATTTGAAGATTTCATTTATATGCAATGTAACATATATTTTTTTAGCCAACAGGGTGATACCCATACTAAGAATGCATATACACACACTCACACACACACACATGTATGTATGTATGTATATATGTATTTATATATGTGTGTATGGTATTTAGGTTTCTTCGGGTATTTTCCCACATCTTAATATTTGTGCTTTTATTATAGCGACATTTCAGCAGAATCTCATCTGCCATCCTCAGGCTTGTGTATTGGGTTCTTTTTGATTTTGTGTGTCAGGCTTGGCAGTCGCTATAATAAAAGCACAAATATTAAGATGTGGGAAAATACCCGAAGAAACCCAAATACCATACATATAAATACCTGCGAAAACATAAGGAAACACATGTATGTATGTATGTATGTAAGTAAGTATGTATGGTACTTAGGTTTCTTCGGGTATTTTCCCACGTCTTAATATTTGTGCTTTTCCCACATCTTAATATTTTCTCACATCTTAATATTTTCCCACATCTTAATATTTGTGCTTTTATTATAGTGACCTTTTGGCAGAATCTCATCTGCCATCCTCAGGCTTCTGTATTGGGTTCATCTGTATGTCAGGCTTTTGCAGCTGTTTCTGTTTTAAATTTGGTGCTAGCTTCGTGCTTTGTTAGAATATTTTTTTCTTCATCCTGATTGGTTGGGAGTCTTGGTCTGTGTTTATTGGTCTTGGAGTTTGCTGTGTTCTGTTTGGTTGGTGTTTCTAGTATCTTCTGTCTGTTTTATAGCGTTTTTTTGTCTTGATTGGCTGGCAACATTGTGTTTTGTGTATTGGGGGCTCTTAGAGCGGCTTGGCTTTGCGTGAATGGATGGCTATCATTTATTAGGAAGCTAGGTTTCATCTGGCTGGTGGGCTGGGCTGTGTTTGGGCTGGAGGTATTGGGGGAAGGTCTGTTTGTGCCCAAGTGTTTGCTTGGCTTGTGGTGTGGAGATTCTTTTGTTTGTGAGTGTAGGCTTCCTGATAATTGACAATCTGGTGGAATCATCTCTTCTATTCATGTTTTCAGGTCATATTTCAACCTCTATGGCTTCTCTGATGATTTTGTAGCTGGGGTTTTCTATAATGACTAGGGTTTTGGTACCATTGAAATCGATGCTATGACCTATGGCTTTCATGTGTTGGATTAGTGAGGAAGTGTGTTCCAGCTTTTTAACTACATTTTTGTGTTTATCCAGGTGGGTACTTATTCTTCTGTTGGTCTGTCCAATGTATGTGGCAGGTCATGATGTGCAGGAGACTTCATATATGCCTTGGTTTTCCAGGTCAATTTTATCTTTGGGGTTTCTTAGGATGGCTGCTATTTTTCTGTCTGTTTTGAAGGCAGTCTTGATGTAGTGCCTGTGTAGTATCTTACTGATTTTGTCTGTTGTACCTCTAATGAAGGGCAGGACAGCTGTTCCATAGGTCTGTTCATCTTCTAAGTCTTTATTATGTCTCAGTGTGTTTTTGTGGATCAGGCCTGTGATTTTGCTTCTGTGGAAGCCGTTGGCTGTCAATACTTTGGTCAGGATGCATAGTTTAGCCTTTATGTGTGTCTTGTCTGCCAGGTGTTTGGTTCTGGCAAGTAGTGTTTTGGCCATGGAGTTTATCTGTGCTAGGTGGTGGTGGGATTGGGTGTTGAGGTAGCAGTTGGTGTGCGTTTTCTTCTGGTATATGGTGTGTCCTAGTGTGCCATCTCTTAGGTAAGCAGCATAATGATATAAATACAGTTGTGTCAAAACTGACTAGACCCCAGTAGAGCAAGATGTCTATATCATCTTTCAAATCATTTTCTAAATAGCAGCTCATTAGAAGATATATCAATTTCTGAGGCCTGTTTTGACTGGCAGAGTGCTGCAGGAGGCAGCACCTTTTTCATCTTCTCTTTGGCAGCAATCTGCCAATTAGAAATAGGTGTCCTCCACAATTTGGATGGCTGTTGTTCAGAAGAGCCCAAAACATCTGTCTCTTTACTCAGGTCTTTGAGAAGGGACAGTGAGTCCCACCCTGTATTTTATTTATTTATTATTATTTATTTTATTTTATCAAGTGATTATAAGATAACAGGTATAAGTTTAAACATAGTTATGAATACATGAAATGGATACATATAAGAAAAATAAAAAGAAACAATAGGGCAGGGACGGTAGGCACATTGGTGCGCTTATGCACGCCCCCTACACACCTCTTAGGAAAGGGGTGAGTTCAATAGTAGACAGTCTAAGGTTAAAGTTTTTGGGGTTTGGGGAAGAAACCACAGAGTCAGGTAGAGTATTCCAGACATTGACCACCCTATTGCTGAAGTCATATTTTCTGCAATCAAGTTTGGTGCGATTAACCTTGAGTTTGTATCTATTGTTTGCTCTTGTGTTGTTATGGTTGAAGCTGAAGTATTCATTGACAGGTAGGACATTGCAATATAAAATTTTATGTACTATACTTAGATTGGACTGAAGGTGGCGTAGTTCTAGGTTTTCTAGGTCTAGAATTTCAAGTCTGGTGGCATAACATATTCTGCAACAAGTAGAGGAGTGAACTCTTCTTGTGAAATATTTCTGGACTTTCTCAATTGTATTAATATCAGATACGTAATGCGGGTGTCAGCCTTCAAGATCTTCTACTACTGCTTTGCATCTTTTGGCTGCCATAAGTAACTGGGGGAGGAGGGGGGTATTGTCTGGGAAGAGAGCTGGAGGTGTTACATTCTTGTGTTGTGTAAATGAGGAGTGGGGGGGAGCATAAATTCCTGCTTTTAGGTTTCTATTTCTCGCTTAGCTTTCTTTTCTCTGCGCAGCTGCAAACCTTTATCAAAATATGCCAAGGTCAACAGACAGAGGCCTCATCACCACCTGAAGATATCCACATGATCATATTCAGAACTTTTAATTGGAAGAATCTTTTGAACTTTGGGGGGTGGGAACAATTCCATCACTTTGTATATGTGATTTGCGCGCCTAATTTCTCAGATTCAGAATCCTACTGGTGTTACCACTTCATTTTTCAGTAAAAGAATTCTTTTCTCTAATTCATGGAGTCTAAGTATTTCTTTCTTGGATTTTGAATGGAGCACCGACTGACAGCGGGTTCCAGACTGATGAGTTGTACTCAAGTATAAGTCTAGCAAATGTTTTGTATGCTCTAGTTCAAGGGTCCCCAACTACCAGTCCCTGGACCGGTACCGGTCCGTGGATCATTTTCTACTGGGCCGCCGGTTTGCTGGGCGCTGTCATCTTGATTCGATGAGAAAGTGCTTCCGGGTGAGCTTTTCGGGTTGGAAAGCGGCGTTTGGGTCCTGAAGGAATCCTCGTGCCTTAGTTTCATCGGGGGGGGGGCGGCTTTGAACGAAGAGCCGTCCCGATGGCGGAGGAGATTAAGAAAGCACAAAAAAGCACAAAAAAGGTACAAAGGAGGAGCTGAAGGTGGTGGGGAGAAGCAGGGGACGGCTGGCTGGCCGGTCACTCAGCTCGCCTTGCCTTGTCATGCATGCTGATGCCGGTACCGGGCCGCGGATCATTTTGTGATGCCAGTATCGGGCCATGGCACAAAAAAGGTTGGGGGCCACTGCTCTAGTTAGTGGTGTGATATTACCAGAGAAAAAGTTACACAGGATTAGGTTAACAACTCTTAATGCCTTTTTGGCTATGTAGTTACAGTGGGCTCTAACACTTGGATCATTAGAGATGAGTACTCCAAGCTCCTTGACAGAGTTTGGATCATCAACAAGGTCTTGACTAATCAGCTTGTATTTTATTTTATGATTTTTTTGCCAATATGTAAGACAGAGCATTTATTTGTTGAGATTTGAAGTTGCCATTTGATTGACCATTCTGATACATAGTCAAGGTCTTTTTGAAGGATAGTATTGTCGGTGGTGTTGAATAGTTTTACATCATCAGTGAAGAGAACACAGTTGTTCTTAATATGATCACAGAGATCATTTATGTAGAGTATGAAGAGAATTGGTCCTAGAACACTGCCTTGGGGGGACACCACTGTTGACAGGTACAGAATTTAATAGGATGCTCCCAATTTTGACCATTTGTTGTCTGTTTGACAGGAATGCCTCTATCCAGTTATGCAGGTGTCCAGAGATACCATAAGATTTTAGTTTTAGGAGTAATTTGCTGTGTACCACTGAATCAAAGGCTTTACAGAAGTCTATGTAGATTGTGTCTATTGCTTTTCCCTGATCAAGTTGTGTAGTGTAGGAGTTGCAGATTACAGGATAATTTTTTTCTGAAACCAAATTGTTTGTTAGCGAGTAGGTTGTTTGTCTCTAACTGGAGGATAATGGATTGGTTAATAATTGATTCCATGACTTTACAGGTGACGCAGCATAAAGAGATTGGTCTGTAATTTTCAACTAGGCTGGCGTCTCCCTTTTTGAAGATGTGGATGACCGTGGCCAGTGACCATAGGTTTGGCAAGGAGCTGGTCCTGAAGGATTTTTCAAAGATTATGCTTAGAGGTTCGGCTATGGCAGTGGATAGCTTTTTTAAGAAGTAGGCACATAGTCCATCCGGTCCAATAGATAGAGACGGTTTTAGATTGTGTAGTGCTTTTTCAACATTGTCTTCTGTAAAATTGATATGTATTAGATCATTGTAGTTGTCTGTGGTTCAACTAGAAATACTGGGCATGATCCATTGCTATTTACAAATACTGAGCCAAAGAATGTGTTAAAGAGGTTGGCTTTAATTGTGTCATCATTGAAGTCTTTACTATTAGGTCTGTTCAGGGGTGGGATGGACCTTGAGCTTTTAGTTTGTTGTTTAGAAAACTGTAGAAAGCGTGTGTGGAATTGGTGCATAGAAGGTTTTTCTCTTGTTTAATGTGATAATTGGTGCATTCAGTCTTTATCTGGTGGCATAAATTTTTGTATTTGCTTTTGAAGTTGGCAACGTGACCAGATTTGTTTTTCCATCAAAGTGATTTCTTTTTGGATTGAAACTTCCTTATTGTTATGGGTAATTTTTTTTTTCTGGTTTTGGAGTTGTTATTGGTACATATAGTTTGATGACTCTTTTGACTTCAAGTAAAAATATGTTGTAATGGTCTTCTACAGTATTGCATCCAGTGAATAGAAGTTGCCAATCAAGAGGTGAGTGATCATTGTCTATAAGATCATAGTTGCCCCATGATCATAGGTCTATAAGATCATAGGTTTCAACATCATTTTTATGTAGAAGTTTTTTTTAAAAAAAATATGATTCTGTATCCTCAATATGTAATTATGTCAATGCTACTATTTGTTCTACCTCATTATTCTACTTTCTGTTAGCATTATATATACGCAATGATTATTACTGTTAGCATATACATGTTAACTTATAGGAGAGTGAAGTACAAGTTAAAATCTTATATTTTAACAAGATAGAATTCAGATGGTTTAGTGCAATGAAGAAATGTTTAGAAAAATGGATTTGGACTCATTAGAAAGTCACATTCTTTAAGAAAAAGGACTAAATAAATCTTCTTGGGGCAACTTGAAATCTCTTCCATACAGATCTGTCATCTGATAATTCTCAGATCTGTTCCTGAGTTTTATTATACAGAGTTGTTGCTTACTTCCCAAGAATAAGAACAACAAACGCAGAAAAAGTTTACAGTTGTTGCTAGGATCATCCATTTGAATGTCAAAAACCTCTGTTCCCTGCAAAAAACTAAAATGGAAAATATATTTGTAGCAAATAACAAATCAGCAGAAGAGAAAGTGGAAAAAAGTGAGCAATGAATCCCTAATGGCTTAATTCTTGAGATCTAGGTTGGGTCTGATCTCATTAATTTCTAGAATAGTCATGAAATAGTCACGAAATGGAATTATGAAATATTTATTATGGAATATATTTATCTAGTCAAGTGCACACACTTTACATCTGAAATTCATTAAATGGGATTAAACCACCTATCTCTTTGCAAATATAACTATTTTGTTTATTTGCTATTGGCAAATGAAAAATAAAGAATATTATGTGAAAATATACAATTACTTTTTTAAACAAAACCTACCACGTAAACCATGGCACATCTACTAATTGTGGCTGGATTGGCTTGAGATACACTGTCTACTTCAAATATCACTCTGAAGGCTGATGATAGATAAATTCTTTCACTGTTAGCAAGACATAATGTTCTGCTGTCATCTAGCACAGAATTTAAGTTTTCTATCCAAAGTGGATCTACTGGGCCATCAAGGATAATCCACTGCCAGTCAACAGAAGTTTCACCTAAAAGTGTGGCGGGGGGAAAGCATTAATTTTAAATGTTCTAGTTTAAACGCATTTAAAAATGTAAAATAGTAATTAAAAACAATTTTATTAAAAAATATTTTAAAAATCACATATCCATTTTTTCCTTTGGAAAACACATTTAAATCTTATTCTCAAATTATCTATTTTCTTATAATCAAATTAGAGAAAAAAATGCTGTTATTGCTTTTTAAATGGTACATTACAATATGTTAATGGGAACAATAGAAAAATCTGCTATGGGATCATTGTGCCTATATATAACATCTTTTTAAATTGTACCTATAGAAGAGAATAATTGTAGCTCTGGTTTGAAATGAGGAGTGCTTAGTGCTTTCTGATCTTGGTTGCTGTTTTGCGGATGTGTCATTACCCAATTTGGGAACATAGTCAATGCTAGTAGGGAGTGGCGTTTATTCTCGTTTTATATTCTGGTGACTTGTCCTTTTGGTATGCGTGGGAATGATCTTGGTGGTTCTTTTGTTAAGCTTTTTACTATTAGCTTGTTGAGCAGTTCCTTTTTGATTTGTTAATATTCATCTTTGGGTGATGATTGCTGATGAGGAGGTTTTCTAGCACTAATGATATTGTTGATTGTCTTTTTTGAATGGTACATAGATGTTGTTTATGCCTATGTGCCTATTGATGAATGATTTGTTAGAGTGCCAGAATTTCAGGAATTCTCTAGTTTTTGGCTTGGACAAGGATGCACACAGTTCCCCACTTAAAACTATGATTATATCTGTCATATGATGTGAAATTAAAGAGTTTTCATAATGTCTTTTGTTCTGCTAATCTTCTGCTTGTTGTCCTACATAGTGGCTATTGCAGTCCTTATCCTGTATGTTGTAAAGGACTCACACATCCTTAGTCATCTGTAGACGACACCTTTGTCATAATAAAAAAGGACCAACTGTAGAACACACACAAAACCATTAACAACATTTTGAAATATATAAAATTTACAAGGGAAGAAGAAAACAACATATTATCCATCAGTAGAGACAGCGATGGCAAACTAGAAATAAAAATTTATTGGAAAACCACCCACACCAAGTGTTCCACTACCAACTCATCAAGTAACAACTCAACTTCCAACAAGAAAAGCTATGTAAAAACACTATTTAGCTGAGCAGAAACATATTGTAGCATCCTCAATATCAGAAAAAGGAATCAGATCATCTATACATCTTCCAAGAAAATAGATTTCCATGCAACTTCATCAAAAAGTACCTGACCGCTCAACCAAATAGAGCACAACTAACCCAAGCTGTGAAAAGGATAACACTCATATATCAAAAACATCTCAGAAACACCAACAGACTATTTACAGTGATGGTTAACTTTTTTGGTGCCGCATGTCCAAAGTGCACATGCGTGTGAATGCATGCGCGAGTGCCCCAAAGGCATTCTAGGGGGGAAATTGTGGTGATTGGGGAAGGCCCTGTTCCCACACATGCATAGCAGAGACCCGAAGACCAGCTGGCTGGCGGGAGACACGCACGCATGCACGGTGGAGCTGGGCTGGAGCGATGGAATGTAAGGACTACAACAGCCACTACATCAGAAGACATTCCTAATTTCACAACACAGACTTAACCATACTTTCACTTGGGAAAAGTGTGACCAACTTAGACCAAACAAAGTCCAAAAATGCTAAAAGAATTCCTGGAAACCTGTAACTCTGATAAAATGGCCATCGATAGACACATAGACATAAACAACATCTATATATCATTCAAAAGAGACAAAAGAGACAAGTGTAGGCAATGAAACCTTTGCAAGAAAATAACCCAGCTCTGAGAGCACCAAGGACCTCTAAATTGTATCTTATAGTGCAGAAAGAGACAATTCTGGAATTTCTGGTACCAGACTTTTTAAAAAATATTATAGAAGACCAGTTTATTCTAATTAAAAACTTACAGAAGCAACTAAATTTGTAAAGAGTAAGTAAAGAGGGGTAACACTTTTTTTCAAGTAAGATTTTTCTCTTGATCATTTAATTTATAACATAGACTTATAAAAAACTTCTTCAAGAAATTAAAATTTAAGAGGTATTATTCTTTGATTCTTTTCTCTGGACATTTTTCAGAAGATGTCTCGCAGCAAATTTTGAGTCTCTCTGTGACATCCGAGAAAAATGCAATTTAGTTTTTCATAAACTATGTCATCGTATTTGGTATCTTTAATAATGTCACAAAATCTAAAGTTATATCACCTGACTTGACAAGCAAAAAAGATCCCTACAATTGCACAAAATTAGTATATTTTGTCATCCCAAAGATACTTTTTCAAGAGGCAACTGGACTTTCTGTTTTTTCTTTGAAGACATTTCACTTCCCATCCAAGAAGCTTCTTCAGCTCTGACTGGATGGTGGGGAATGAAAGGATTTATACTCCTTGCAGACAGCTGGTCATTTGTGTTAGGAATGTAAGTCACCTAACAGTTAGTTAGGTTGGAAAATACATAAACCAGGATAGACATTTTTATACTGTCTCTTTAAGGGAATGCTAAAAGTGTAATTGGGTGTGGTTCCTCTAACGGCCATAAGATGGAGCCAGAAACCTGGGTTGTTTAGTTCCTGTTTTGGTGTTTCTGGAGAGTGTTGCCGTTCCTCCATTTTTCCCCATTGACTGTTATTCTTGGATTTGATGTAAGTCTGTTACTGAACTATTTTTGATACTGGACTTTGTTATTGGATTATCCCTGGACTGAAAACTGACTGCTTTAACTGTGAATGATTTGGACTGCTTGTTTGAACTTTGCTTAACTGTTTTACTGGAAGCAAAAACCTACATTTTACTATACAGTGTATCTGTGTGCTAGTTGTGTGTTATTCTTCACCACTCTCACTACGTCTCCCTGTATGCGCTCATTCTCCTAATGGGGAATCACCTCAACAATTTGCATTCTTTTAGTGAGTTGTTAGGGCCACCTGGAGGATTATCTATGTCATCATGGTCACCTGAATAGTGTAAATAGGTGTGGAAGCTTCTGGGAACCGTTGAAAGAACTATGTTGTAGACTGGAAGTAGATGTGGTATCCCCCTCTTCTGTTGAGCAAGGGCTGTTCAATTTTGACATATATGGCCTCTTTGACCCCTCTTTCAAACCAGCAGTCCTCTCTGTCCAGATTGTGGATTTTGCTGTCTTCAAAAGAATGGCCTTTGTCTTTTAAATGCAAATGGTTTGCTGAATCTAGTCCTGATGCGTTTGTTCTCCTAAGTTGTGCCATGTTTTGTTTCCCTGATGTATAGATCTGCACATGGATTACTGCATTGACCATGTTGCTCAGTTTGTGTCTAGGTCTTTTATCCTTGGGGTGGAAAACAGGGGTGGGATTCAAATTTTTTAACAACCGGTTCTGTGGGCATGGCTAGGTGGGAGTGGCTAGGTAGGCTTCTTTTTTTTTTGCAGCACCCCACCACGCTCTGTTTTTTGGGCCTCTAGGGACTCAGAGAAGCCTCCAGGGGGGCATTTTTGTTCCCAGGAGGCTTCCCTGAGGGCCAGAAAGGTAAAAAATGGACCGCCAGGGGGGGCGCAGCACACACACATGCCCACAGGACCCTTTTTGTCTCCTGGACCTCAGGGAAGCCTCCTGGGCAAAGCAGTATGACAGCAGGAGGATTGATGTTGGGCACGTGCAATAAGGACTGACTGGGAGGGAGGGGCAGACGGAGAAGGGCAGGGCCAGCCAGGGGCACAATTTGCCAGTTCTCTGAACTGCACAGAATTGTAACAACCAGTTCTATAGAACCATTCCGAACTGGTAGAATCCCACCCCTGGTGGAAAAGCTTCTGCCTTAGTGTATTTTTGTGTTTGAAGTGTGCACGTATGTTGTGTTGGCTGAAGATCCTCCTGAGTTTTTCCAATATTTCTGCAATGTATGGAATGACAATGTTGCTTCATTTATTGTTCTTTTGGTTGTCTGTTATGGAGGAGCTTCTCTAAGGTCCTTGTACACATACACATACACACACATTTGGAGTCAACACATCTAGCAGACTCTCCTGAAACAGAATCAGTAGGAGAGCTGAATATTACATCAGATGCCATTTTGCTAGAATTCAGTGACCATGCACTGGCTTTCATCACTTATAAACCTATTGCCAACTAGAGGCAATAGCAGGGGTGAGATTCTACTGGTTTGAACCGATTCTATAGAGCCAGGGGTTATGATTCTGTGCAGTTCAGAGAACCAACAAATTGTTCCCCTGGCTGTCCCCACTCCTCTCCACCTGCCCCACCCCTCCCTGCCCAGTCAGTCCTGATTGTACATGCACAACATCACATACATGCCCAACATTGCTGACTGTGTTCTTCCCTGCCCAGTTACTCCTTAAGGTATTTTCCCCCTCTTGACAATCAGCTATTCCTATGATCAGCTGTCCCAGGATGCAATAAAGCATTGGTGTCTCCAGCACCCCCCTGGCTCCATTTTTTTTCTTCCTGAGCCCCAGGGAAGCCTTCTGGGAGCAAAGAAAAAAACCCCAGGAGGCTTCCCTGAGGTCCAGAAGGCCCCAAAATGGAACATGGGGGGTGGTGCTGCATGCCCCCTCCAGGCTCTGTTTTTTTTTTCTTCCTGAGCCCCAGGGAAGCCTTCTGGGAGCAAAAATGCTCCCCCGAAGGCTTCCCTGAAGCCCAGAAGGCCCCAAAAATGGGGGCCTGCAGAAGAAGAAGAAGAAGAAGAAGAAGAAGAAGAAGAAGAAGAAGAAG